GTGTGTGTGCGTGTGCGTGCGTGTGTGTGCGTGTGCGTGCGTGTGGCAGTACTATGACGAGTATGTAGGTAGATGGAGCCTTGCTAACAAAAGCCTTGCTGTGTGCCATTATCCTATTAGACTGGGTCAAGTGTGTTCACATTATTCTGAGGGAGAGGGAGAAAAGAAGAGAAGTGACTGGAAAGAAAGGCAATGAAATAAACACCAACAAACACAGCACTGTGCCTAACAGTTAATGTTCATGTCACTTGCTTTACCAGCCAAGTATTAAGGTTTGTATATAAGCGTCAGTGTTTTTGGGACATGCTCGTGTTGTGACAGAGAATACAAGCCTGGGCTGCGTCTCATCTGAGGAGATAAGAGGAAGTGCCTGAGGGCAACAGACTGCTTATGTCATCTGTATCTACACACAGCAACAGGCAAAACAGCAGACGCCCAGCCAGACGAGCAGATGACCTGCCAGGGAGGACAACAGTCACGCAGACGTTTGTGATGTTTGACGTCTGCTGCACTCGCTGAGGTCACAGTCTATGAGCTGAGCAACAGCAAAACAGTCTCTATGTTTAGAAGGAACACATTGCTGCTGTACCCGAGTTTACATTTAAATAAATGCTTCTATTTTCTAAATAATATGTGAATCATTTCTATGTTCTCTAACTATACACTGTCAAACCCACAAGCAAGTTCAGCCACAGCACAACATTGGCAGTCTATCCGTAACACAGCTCTACAGGATATCCTGTTGAATCAGGATATCAGTTGAATATGGTGACACAAAAGGACAACAAAGCTCAGATTCTCATCTAGGGAGCTTCTGATGACCCAATTGTTATTGTGTAAAGCAAATGGGCTCATATGCCTTGGGCAATGGGTCCCGAGTAAAGATCACATAAAGACAGAGGTGAATATGTTGTCAGTGTCTTTGCTGCTTGTAAAAAGTGCCACAATGTATGAGCTTTTGATAGCCGCAAGCCACGCACGTCGTCACTATGGAAACATTGATAGCTGCAGGAGCACAGGTGCTGAGATAATTGACAGAAACTTTTCGAAGAACACTCAACCACAAAAACGGGGGAAAGAGGCCACAACCGTGTTGGTGTGAGTTACTGTGTATGTAGCATGTGTGTTTAATCACTGGTGACTGGGCGGGTTGTTGGTTATTCCTTAATAGGTACACACAGGTCCGGATTTGACTAAGAGATAATAGCGGGTAACTGGTCTGGTATGCAGCTTTGGAGATGCGGGCAGGTTTGCAAAAATGGACCCATGTTCAAATCCCGACCAGCTGGACTGTTTACGGTGAGCAATTCCTCGAGTATCTCTCCCTCATTTCCTGTAAACCTGTCACTATCAAATACAGCCATATAAAAACACCTACAAAAGTGTATAATCATGTATTCTATTTATGTATGTTGGATTATTGAACATCAATATGGTGTTTTACCTTTATTTTTGTAGGATGTGTAGCATCAAAACACCTCGTTTGCAATATGATTAAAATGAAACAAGAACAGAATAATAAACAAACCTCGATTGAAGCGCAGTAAAAAGTTATAGGCAGTAACACAGAGTTTTCAGGGTGTCTTTTTAAAATATTCCATGTCACTGTCGCACTACTGATAAATACAGTCAAGCTTTTAGTATGCAGGTGAGCCAAAAAACTTTGGACACTGAGCAATGGTGTTGACTCACCTTTGGGTGACCCAATTGGAGCTTCGCTGTGGGATTTAACCAGGCGACCATCAGTATAAGGGCTGCTCTGGGAGGCAAACGACACCTCTGGGCTGGTCACGTCTCCTTCCTCCACTCTCTCCTCCACCTCCTCCTCTTCCTCCTCTTCTTCATCCTCCTCTTCATCCTCAACCGTCTCCTCCTGTGTGTCCTCGTCTCTCTGTTCCAAGTCTGTGGAGTCATCCAGCCTCTGTCGTTCCTGTTGCTTGCTGTGATTCTCAATCACCTGTAGAGTTGAGAGAAAAACAAGGACTCAAGCCATTGACATCTTCAATATATACAGTATTAAAAATGTCCAGTGTAAAGAAACACATACTCATACAATTTCTACATGCATAATAATAAACCTGCTCAAAATCTAGTAACATGAATCCCTCTTACATGAAAAGAGATGATGAACCGTACAGTAACACTAATATTATATTTTCCACATCTGCAAATCAGCTGAGAACCAAGTGATGTAAATGTCATGATCAGAAGGTATAAGCAAGGCTCTATGTGGATGCCCGTGTACATTCCCATTTGTTAAGAACATCGTCCGTGTGGTCTTTACATCACAATAACACCAATTATGTGTCAAAGCAGAGTCCAACCAGACTAAACTTATGATAACAACTCCATATCTGTTATGTACACTGCTGCCAGTGTGTGAGTCCACAAGCTTGTACACTTGAGGACAAAGTCACCTTCAGTTCCATTGCATTCCTCCAGCACCATTAACTCCAATTTTGTTTTTATGAGACTAAGATTTTTAGTAATGTTTCATTATTAAATTGTCTAGAAAATTTGTTTAAAAGGTTCAGACGTTAGAGAAATCCTGAAAATTAGACAGAAAAGAAGACATGGGAAATAGGGTTGCACAGTGAATATGGCGACTGTCCTTTGACAGAAAAGTATCCTCTGCATGAGTTTGGTCACCTTATTCGCCGTCTCCATGACCACTTCGATGTTAAGGTTCTGCGCAGCCATTGCCAGCAGCTCATCGTCATCATCCCCAACATCCCAAGCGTCACTTGTGATGCTCTCAAACTCCTGGAAGGTGGTCGCCTTCTTGGGCTTGCCTGGTGTGGCCGGAGGATGCTTGTTGCCTGCTTTAATTAGACTGGAGAACAGAAAGAGAGGGGCCGTGAAAAAAGAGACGATAGGGGAAGAGGAGATAAAGTAAATAACCACAGTGCGGAAGATAAGTTAAAAAATGGGTAGGGAAGAACAGTTAATCATTGTGGCATTGACAGATGGGGAAGAAAATGAAAGAATACCAGCCCTTTGAAAAAAAGAAGAGCTTAGCAATTAATAAATAATATAACCACCACTTATGTAAAATATTTGCATCCAAAAACACTGAAACCTACCAGTAATTCACAACACTCAAAATGAAATACTCAGGTATGTGAGTCTCTTAGTCTTAAACACTTGAATCAAAACAGGCCTCAAACACAAGAGGGAATCTAGTCACGTTCAAAAGAAAAAAATTCACTCAGTTGCTTACTTTGTACTGCGAAGGTGCTCTAATTTCTTCCAAATATAAAGATTACCATGATAAAGAGACTTGTCCATATTAGGTAACTTCCATCATAACAGAAATGAGAAAGCATGAACTTTCATCCTGACAAAAAAACAAGCAAATTAAATTCAACCCTCTATGGAAATCTACATGATTAAACATCAGACAGAAGAAAGAAAAGGATTTTTAATGAGTATCAGGCTGCTTTTTCTATGTGTGAGTGTGTGGGGGATCTGGAACAAGATAGGTACAGTCAACACATGTTATAAAATAAGTCCAAAATAGCAAAAAATATTTCCAAAGCAGAAGTGAATGATGAGGAAGCTTTAACAATGTTTTCCACATAAGATTCTACAGTTTTCTGCATTCTTAATATAAAATACTTACTGTGAAGTCAAGTATTTTCCTTATTACTCACTAAAAAGTTTTACAAATCACATATACCTCTTAAATCTTCACTCCATGTAACCTAATCTGTTAGCACAGGGCATGGTTTCAAGCTTGTTAAATAGGTTCACATGAAAGTGAAAGTAAGCCTGAGTCTCTTTAAACTGATCACCAATCAGCGAGTCACCAACTAGATTTTCTGGTAGGTTCACTTCCTCTAAAACAAGAAGTGACCGACAGAAACAAACAAAAGGTTTTCAGAATTACCAACTATTTAAAGTTTCATACATTCACCTTAAGCACAGTGCAGATATAGTCACACCTATGATGTCACAGCCCATGTCTTTGTCAGCAGTTCAATAGCAAATAAATGGATTTGTGTGGCTTAAGTATCAAATGATACTGCATTAATCCATGCCACAGTAGCAGTTTTCAACTTTCAATGAGCAGCAACCCTTTAAAGGTCCAGTGTGCAAGATTTAGGTGAAAGGGATCTATTGGCAGAAATTTCGTGTAGAATAATTCTCATGATGTTTTCACTAGTTCATTTCATCTTAATTGTATGAATTGTAGTTTTCTTTACCCCAGAAAATGCCCTTTATATTTAAATACTTTATATTTACATTGAGTGGACCCTCTCTACGGAGGCAGCCATGTTTTTTACATTAGTCCAGACTGGACAAACTAAACACCTTTTGAGTTTTTATGACAATTAAAGGCTACCACAGGTTCTCTATCATGTTTGGAAGGAGAGGGTGAGGGGTGTTCAGCTGCAACATGCAATTTCAACACTAGATATCACAAAATTCTACACACTGTACCTTTATGATTTGTGCATTCTTTTGTTGCTCAAATGTTTCCCCTCAAAGAGTATCTCATTGTGGGCAATCATGGAGAATAGAAATTAGAGAAAACCATAGGAACTTCAGGCAGATACAGTACCATTTAAGATTAATTAAGATCTGCCAAATACTTATGAATCCTTATTCTTACAAAGGACTTGCAGATCAATCAAGGTCTTACGTGATCATCTATACAATCAGAATTGTCATTGAAGAGACACGTGAATAAAAGATCCATCTCCCATCAAAGAGGAAGAGAATATTTTTAATTAATACACACTAGTATGAGATAAGAAAAAATATTTTCCTCCACTGTTATATCTAGACAAAGCTTTATTTAAAGACAATTTGAGGTACAGAGACAAAACAGTTGAGAATGAGAGTTATTCTTAGGTTTTCAGATGTAGTTTTCCAAACTGAGACTCACTGCTGGGGCATAGAAACTAAGGGAAGTAAAAGTTCGCATGGAAATCACAGGATGCTTTAGAAATACAAAAAGGTGCATTGAACTTACTTAGCATGGAGGAGCGGGTCAAAGGGTGGGTGCTGTGCTCCGTATACATGTTGAATGCTGAGGAAGTGAGGAAGAGGAAATGTAAATGAATGAGCTCGTAGCTGTCAAGTTAGCAATGCTAGCTTGAAGTTGCACCAAACACTCGCCCATTAAAGCTGCAGCAGTGCGACCAACAGTGACGAACATTGAAAGCCAGAGCTAAAGTTTAATATGAAACTGTGAGTGTAGTTATTTACAACTCTGTGGGTGCGGGGCAGGGAAATTACTTAACTGTTAGCCGCTGTTAGCAACCTAGCTGGCTAACAGCAGCGCGCAGTGAGGTGTCCGTGAGACTATTTGAACACAGACTTCGCTGCATCGCGAGGGGGTGGACGTGCAAACATTGCGGGGAAACAGCAGCGGAGTCCAGGAAAGTTCAAGGCGCGTTTGAGGCAGAATGGTGCAGCGTCAGTTGAGCTAGGCTAGCTGCTGCTAAGCTAGCCATCAGCAGGGAACACGTCACTCACCTGCCAGGAACCTTGGCTGCGTTCCTCTTCCAGAACTGTTTCCTGGTCCCGTCGCTCGACATCTTCCCTCCGCGGCTCCGGCCGGTCCTCGACGCAAACACCCGGGCGCTGTCGTGGTCCTCGAGACGGGGAATTCGTGTTTATTTACAGCTCACCAAAACTCAGAGAGCTGCCATGTTGCCACTGCCGGATGGGCGAGCAAGCGCGGCTGTGATTGGCCGCGGCGGGCTCTTGCTCAGCGTGGACCAATCACAAGTGAGTTCCGTGCTGAGGTGGCTCGGGCAGCAGCTGACGTCACAAGCCGCCGACTGTGCGTTTGTTGACAGAGACTGAAGTGTCCATCAAAAGAGAGAGAGAGATAAAGAGACCACCAGCATCAGGACCACAGAAGAAATAAATAAACAGTTTTATCAACTGATGTAGTTATACTTTATTAAAGTTTGGTATTGTATTCACTTATTTCTATAGTTGTCCATATCTATAAATAAAGATTATTATTATTATTATTATTATTATCATTCAGACATAACTTTAAAAGGGTGGATCATCCATAGAAGAGACAATAATGTTGTGTTCTGTGTGTATTGACAGATGTAATGATGATTATTGACTGATATCATTTTCTGAAAGTGGTCTATTTACCCTTTTTGAAATAGTGGACCAGAGATTCGGTTAGATGGTCGGTTAATTCAATAAACTACATTCATATCCACCACAATAAAGTACAATCAAGTTTTATCTTCACCTGAATGTCACAAAATGAAATTCTTGTTACTTTTGCACAGAGAGACAGGATTGTCAGGAATCACTTACTGTGCTTACTGAAGGAAAACAGGCTCAGCCAACGTAGGGACTATGTTACAATCATAATACTTGAGAAATTAACAAACTCTAAACACAACTTTCTTTTGTCTTCAAAGCATCATCCAGTCATGTCCTTACTACGCAGATATTATCTCTGTGTGCACAATCTTTGTATCTTGTGCACACAAGATAATTATCTTGTTCCCACTAGAAAATGATCCTCTGCACAGAACATAGTAATAACATAGCCCACAAGATAATAACTTGTGCGCACAAGATGAAAAATTATTATCTTTTGGGACTTTCTTAGTTAAGCATGGATTTGTCAAAAACACAATAAAGTGCAACACATGGTTCTTCATTAATTATTATGAAAAAAAAAAAAACTCCTCACCCATGGCTTCCAGAAGAAACTCCCCTGTTGGTCAGACACTTAAGTTTGTGTCTGGATGTCATTTGCTCATTTGGTTCCACAATTTAAAAAAACAAACAGGTTAGATAACAACTGTTTGTACTTCCCCCTGTTTTGTTTTCTCATATGAAGCAGTTGTACTTCTACTAAAACCTGTTTAAATTCCTCACGAACTCTCTTCCTCTTTGTCATTGTAACTCACAAAGTCACACCCATGTGCACATCTCCAGATTATGAGGACAAAACAATGAAATCGCAGATGATTGTCTGTTGAAACTATGTTTCCATCATCTTAAAATCCGCCCAGTGTCTTTCCAGACTTTGATCTGAACACACAAACCTGGGTGTCAAACCACTTTAACACAGTTTAGTCATGACTTGTGTTCATGTTGTGTGTGTGTCATAATGATCACTGTGGGGTTAGGACAGGTTGAGATAAGTGCTGTACAGTGTTGAACTGTAGGGAAGCATCCAGCTGCTCTGAGTCATGGACAGTTTACGTGTCCATGCAGCTACTTATACACGTGTCTATTCACCAGCATGGAAGCAGAGAGGACCACAGCCAGGAGCTGTCACTCTGACACAATTTCCAGCTGCTGCAAACGCCACGTATTAGCCATTCTAGGTTGAAAACGTTTTCATTCACAAGCGCTTTACTCTATTTGCATTCATTATACCTCCCAACTTATTTCTAAGTCTTGATACATAGAATTATCCTTTTTATTAAATCCTTTTTTTAAATGTCTTTACTCTTGTTAATACTTTATTTAGCTTTCAGATTTCAAAACTGTTTATGAAAGGAGCTTTATAAATACAATTGTAAAACTTGTAAAGCCCATTTAACTTTGTTTTGAAATATGCTACATAATACAGTTATCATCATAGTTTTTATCGGTATCATTATGTTGTTATTATAGTTTTTTGTTAGTATTATTATTGTTTTCGCTGTAATCGTTATTATTTGATAGATTTCCATATCGCCCAGCGCTTTCATACTATGCAGCAGCAGGATGTGGGCTGGTTTAACTTTTTTTAACCGCTGGAGTGAATCACCTCGCTCACAGACGATCTTTGATTGTAGTACCTTCTCGTGCTGTCAGCTCGGGCTCACGCACCTCACTCCTCACCTCACTCCTCACCTCACTCTGTGCGCTCAGCAGCCGCGCCGTGCCGTGCCAAGGTGGACATGAGAACAATCGGACTATAGAGCAACACGTGCGAAAGAAGTAATGGAGAAGCAGCCGAGGCTACTGTGTTCGAGGCTCCTCCGGGAACACAGGCAGGTGGAGGTGGCTCTGACCCGCAGTGTTTTGGGCTGGAGGGAAACTGACAGGAGCAGAAAACGAAGCTCAGGCATCAGAAGTTTATCTGGAACCGGTGAGTCACTGAGTTCTCGTCACGATTCCGCTCAACACAGCTGCTGTGCCTTGTCTTTAAACTTCAGGAACACGTGCTTAACAACTTTAGTGTCCACAGTCATAATAATAACAAAAGAGATCATAACAACACTTTCTCCCTGTAATTCCTTCACTCGTGGATATAAAAGTCCCACTCTGTGTACCAGGATCATGTTGAAGCAGCACATGTCAGGTGGTAACAGTGGTTGGGTCTGCACACTGACAGCAGCAGCTCGGTTCTCAGTCAGACATAATTAGCAGACACTGTTTCTTACAAGTGACCACTACCAGAGGCTGACAGTCATTTGATACAAGTCTCCCAGGATAAGATCTGAATCATTCCCCCCTCAGACTCACCCCTGAAAGCTGCTCTCTGCCCCAGTCAGCTCTCTGAACATCTCCAGTACCTGAGAACTGCAGCCCCTGGGTTCAGCTTGGTCACTATAAGTTTTGAGCTTCAGAAATTGCAGGACATACTCTTAATCCTGATAATAATATAATAATAAACTTTTTTTGTATCCCACCTTTCGTACAAGAAATGCAGCTCAAAGTGCTTTACATGCAATACAGATACAAAATATTGTTATAACACATTAAAATGTTAGTCATATAAGAGAGCTGATTTTAAGTAACATAAGAACATGTTAAAATGACATCTTAAAGAAAAGGGAAAAAAATATGATTAAATAAATAAAAAATTCATATAAACAGAAAAGAAAGAAAGTTCAAGCATTTCAAATCCCAGCTTGGCCGAGGCCTGTCTGTGTCGACATGGGTTTTCTTTAGGTGCTTTGGTTTCCTCACACCATACCTTGGCGACCTGTATTGTACCAAAAACTACAAATTTAAACTGATTCAAACTTTCTATTATGTATTGTATTGTAACTTTTATGTGTCACACAGCCTCCTAAAACTGTTTCCATTTCTGTGACGTCCTACTTACATAGCTGATAGCTACATGTAGCAAATGTTTTAACAGGCTAAGACAAATGTTGAGTTTGAATGTCTCTACCTTATTAAATAAACCAGTTACTTATAACTGAGAGGAAACTTTACACACAGACACAAGGTGCTTTTCCACTGAAGGTTTCTGAAACATATAAGTTCAGGAACTTCCCCCAAGGGTAAATGTTCCTGCAGCACACTGTGATTTATGTTTCTACTGTGGAGCCAAAGCCCTGATGTGCAGATACAGCAAATTAGGCTGTTGAACTATGAAAAGTGCCTTCACATTATTTGTATGAGTGACAATACACTGAGATGATGGTGCATAAATCGAGGCGTACAGTTTTATATGCACATCTGATTGTGGTTGTAAAATGTCCTTTTTTTCCTAGAATTATGTTTATTTTTTCCTGCGTAGCCAGATTACAAACTGACATGGAAGAAAAGTAACACAACACATCATGCATCGCAGAATTATAGCCAAAGTCACAGTTAAATTAAGTGTATGGTGGTGATCCACACCAGACACAGCTACGTTCTTTGTTTTAGACTCAACATTTAGTTTCCCACCTCCAATTAACTTTAGGTTCCCATATCTCTTCAAACACACCTCCTTTATCTTCATTACATAATCTCAGTCTCTCCAGGTGCAGTGACTTTGACATTTTTCCCAGCCACACAACAGATATGGGTACACAGTCTACAGTACACAGTCCTCCACAGTTAAAAATACATGATTACATGATTGGCTACTTTCCCATTGCCAATAGGGAAGTGTGATCTCTGTTTTTTTCCCCCGGTGGTTTACATTTGACATCATGAACACACAGAGACTCTCTTTCATTTCAAATTTTTGCTTTCGCTCTGAGCCGATTGAAAAAACCTTTGTCAACTGCAGAGTTTGACCTGAAAGTGAATGCCGATTTAATCTATTTCCATTGCAGACAAATACCAGATGTCAGCAGGTGTCAGTTGGTGTTGTTGACCAGTGGAAAAAAGTGACTTTAGACTGCTCGGGTACTTGATCAGTCTTGATTAGGGCTTCAGTCCCCCCCCAAAATGTATCAACCTTCAGAAAGGTTCCAAGCTTGGACATTTTTGGAGATAAAACATTTTTTTTATCTGGTTTCTCAAGTGGAAATTTCCTCAAAAATGTCTTTCTTCCTTAAGGAGGTTTCTTACATTGAAGACCGACCTCACATGTGTTAAGACAGCTATGCACCCCCATCCAAGGTCTAAACAAGCTAGACTCTGAGCATACACTGGATTAACAGTCTGTATCTTAAATTCTCTTTAATTTCACTGCTGTCGCAGAGCGGTGTCCCAGACTTTGGTCTTTTCCATCCTTTCTATCAGAAACCATTTATTCCAGATAACCTCCCGGGGCTAATGTTTGTTCATCTAGATGAGGTCCCTGGTCTGCAATAGCTCTCCCACATCCAGAGGTGTGATTACAGCTGGCACTGCACACTCGAGTTTAAACCCGGCCATTGACCTTCCTCAAAGTGGTATCAAGTGCCCCATAATAACCTGCCATAAAGACTTTCATCTGTTGAGTCAACGTTCAATGCAGCGACATCAGAGTCCCCCCCCTCCTCCAATGACAAGAGCAGTTCAGTTCGTTCTTTAGTTAAGAATTATACAAAGAGTGTTTGCCAGTAATAAATACACAATTATTTCTACATCACACATTGTTGTTAAAGAGGAGAATTGGCGTCACCTTCATTTATGAGGAAATCAAATAACTTGAAAGCAAAAATGGAAGATTTTGGTTTATCATTCGTGGCTGATACATTGTAGTTAATCAGTCACTACAGTAGATATAAGGTGTCTCGCTGTTTCTGGGCTCCAAGTGTTTTATGTGTTGTTCACTTACATCATCGGCTGCTCAAACACGCCACGCTCCCCTGCCTGTGTGTGGGTATTTCTCTGCGTGTGTTTACCTTAGATTTGCAACAGCAAAATTTCACAGCTGTCTGAGTCTGTCAGGTGAAATGAATGTCCTTGAGATATGTCTCTTGAGCTGGTGGATTTTCTCTCTTTTGTTTGGTGTGTTTACGCCAGCTTCTTACAAGCACGGTCACAAATTGAGCTAAAATACAGCAAATGAAGAAGTATGTCAGGAGGAGAATGGGTTATTTTTCTTTGCCGCGTACCGTCTAATTTTTCAATTAAGTTTAGTGAAAATGAAAAATAAAAAGTGTGACAAATCAGGCTGGGGCACTGGAAGAAATATAGTAGATAGGATGAGACGTGGTAGCTGGTATAAATTTAGCATTTTTCTATCAGAAGACATTTAGAGAATGAATGAGTGGAGAGAGGTAAGGAAAAGTTCATCCTCACAGAAAATCATGCAGCGTGACTCAAATTTGAATTCAAAGTCGTCCTCAGCCTGTATTATCCATTTTTACCCAAACATCCAACTGATGCGCAAATGCCATGATTGCCAAGAGGAATTGTTTTGAGCAGTGAACATCACTCTGGCCTTGATGTTTGGACTTACACAGCATTAGTGTGTGTTACTTGTTTATATTTAAGTGGATTTGGTCGAATCAGAGCATCTGTGCTGAGATGTGCTGAGTGGAGCACCAGGCAGGGTATCCCTAGTCAAATGTTATTTGTATACACACACAAAGACTCGCTGTCAAAGATAGACACATCAAATCCAGTCGCTGAGGAGGCATGATCTCTGAGTCTAGAGTAAATCTAGAATAAATCGCGGCATATGCTGTAGAGAGTGTCTCCCCTTCCCTCCAAATCACTTAGCGAGGAGTACTTCCTGAGGCCCTCTGAGCTGGGATATTTCTCCTGGCCAGAGGGGGTTTAGAAATTTGCTTTTCCACAAGGCAGAGCTGGATCTATATCTGTTTTATAATGAAGGATTCTCTCCCTTACTTCAGACCATAAATGTCTGTCTGGACCAAAATGAACTGCTGTTGATGTTAGTTAATAAAACTTCTTTCAGACATGCACTAAAAAGGTTTTCCTGAAATGTTTCTCAAGGGGTTGTATGTGAGAACACAAATGTCTGGACATTATCTGGAACTTGTCCTGCCAACCCCAGAGTACAATTCACACAAAATTTATAGCAATGCAAAAATCCAAGAGCAGCTCATGACAATTACAGAGAATCCAGTTTAATTTGCTTTAATTGACTGGTACTCGTTTTGGCATGGGTACTAAACTCACAGTATCACTGCACCTCCAGCGACTGTTCTCCTGTTATCCCTTCCACCTTGGCTGCCCTTTCTCCTCCATCTGTTTGCCTAAGCATTGGCTTAACAAAACCGTCGCACCTGGGGGGAAATCCAGGTCTTGTCTGACAGCTCACTGCCATGTGTACCCAGGCAGATCTGTGCTTTGTAATCTAAAGCTGGTGCTCAATGCACAGCCCTGTCTGTACATTGAGAGACAGCTACAGAGGGAGGGAGAGAGATACAGGGAAATAAACGCTGCCAGAAAAGGACAGCTGGAGATTGGGTAAACTGCACTGGTTTATACCTTATTGTGTCCATTTACCCAAGACTTAGTACAATAAAAGTAAAGATTAGTATCTCTAAAGCTAATTACTCTTTGCAATAACCAGAGGAACAATGTCGGAGCCCATTAGCTATCATCTGATGATGAATTAGCGAGTCAAACACAAACAAACCCAAAAAGTGTTTCCTTTTGTAACTATTTTATCCTATTTTTATATTACAAAGCCAATAAGACTATGCATTTCAGTTAATGTGTTCTCCCTCTTTTGTTCCTCACAGGGACAGTTTTCCTGCAGGCATGCAAATTCTGCTCAAACATGATTGGTCAAACTAGAAACGGTCACCAGATAATAGCCACATTTTCTGAATATACTTCAAAAAGTACTTAGTACTTAAATCAACCCTTCCACTTACATTCAGCATGGGACCAAATATTCTTAAATATTATAGGTTGAATCCCCAAGAACATAAACAGTTTTATCACACCCTCAGTTGAGTCTTATCTCCTCTCTTGCACCTGCGTTGCATGTCACTTGGAATACAATATGTAAGAGCA